ACTACTACTACTACTACTACTACTACTACTACTACTACTACTACTACTACTACTACTGCTACTACTGTTATTCACACCGGTGTGATGAAAAACGGTAATGAAAGCAATGAACGAATAATAAAATAATAAATAAAACAACAGTAACAGCAACGGTAATAATTATCACAACGATAACGATAATAATAATAATAATAAATATTATTATAATTACTACCGGTACCGCTGCTGCTACTGCTACTGCTACTACTACTGCTGCTACCGGTACCGCTGCTGCTACTGCTACTACTACTGCTACTGCTACCGCTGCTACCGCTGCTACTATTGTTACCGCTACCGTATGGTAACAACGGTGATAAACAGTATTAATAATAACTATAGTAATAACAGTAATAATAATAATAATTATTATAACAACAACAACGACAACGACAACGACAACGACAACAACAACGACAACAACAACAACAACAACAACAACAACAACAACAACAACAATAATAATAATTACAATAATAATAATAACAACAACAATAGTAACAACAACAATAGTAGTAATAACAACAACAATAGTAATAACGGTTATAATATTAATAATAATAATGATAATAATAATAATAATTATAGTAATAAATAATGAATAGTAATAATGATTACTACTACTACTACCAGTACTACCAGTACTACCACTACCAGTACTACCACTACCAGTACTACTACTACTACCAATACTACCAGTACTACCACTACCAGTACTAGTACTACCAGTACTACTACTGCTACTACCGGTACTGCTGCTACCGCTACTACCGATGTTGTCGCTACCGTTTGGCGATAACGGCGATAACAGCAAACGGTAAATAGTAACCGTGGTGATAGTAATAATAATAATAACAACAACAACAACAACAACAACAATATATAATAACAACAATAATAATTATAGTGATAAACGATAAATGGTAATAATAATAATTATTATTATTATAATCACTACTACTGCTAGTGCTGCTGCTGCTGCTGCTACTCCTACTCCTAGTGCTGCTGCTGCTGCAGCTGCTACTAGAATTATTGCTACCGTCGTAACGACGGTGACAATAGTAACAAAAATAATAACAACAGTAATGATATAATTATAATAATAACAACAACAACAACAACAACAACAACAACAATATATAATAATTATAATAATAATAACAGTAATAATAATAATAATTATAGTAATAAACGATAAATGGTAATAATAATAATAATTATTATCGTTAATATTACTACCACTACTACCAGTACTACTACCAACAGTACTACTACTACTACTACTACTATTGTATTGATACCGTCGTGGTAACGGCAGTAACGGTGATGAATAATAATAATAATAATAATAACAACAACAACAACAACAGCAGTAGTAGTAGTAACAAATAGTAATAAATAGTAATAATATAACAACTATAGTGATAACGGTGATAATAATTATAATAGTAATAAAAGTTATAATTATAATAATAATAATAATAATTATAGTAGTAATAATAATAATAATTATAGTGATAAATAATAAATAGTAATAATAACAATAATTATTATTGTTACTACTACTACTATTGTTATTATTAACGTTAACACTATTGTCGTTATTATTATTATTAATGTTATTATTATTATTATTATTATTATTATCGTCATCGTCATTACTGACGTGTATTAATACTGGTGTCTGCCTTTATAATAATAATAATAATAATAATAATAATAATAATAATAATGGAAAAAAATAAATAAATAAATTTTAATTAAATAAATCAATCGAGTATAATACACACATATATATATATATATATATATATAATAATATATATTATATATGTAAAAAAACGACGTGGCGCGCTTACCCAGTAGGTCCCTGTCGGGCGGGCAGTCGTAGTCGCCGCGCCCGCGGCGGTACTCCGACTCCGGGTCGTCCTCCGGGCCGTCTCGGTCGTGCCGCTGCCGCCGGTGGTCTCCGTCACTGCCGCCTCCGCCGGCCGACGTCGTCGGCTGCTGCTGCTGCTGCGGGAGGCCGCGTCGGCTGTCCGCGGCAAACGTCCGAAAGTCGGTGCACGCCCGGCACGGCGGCCGCTCCGGCCCGAGTCCGTCCCGACGCCGGTTCCGCTCCGTCTCCGGCACCTGGTGGTCCGTCGGCTCCGGCTGCTGCTGCTGCTGCTGCTGCTGCTGGTGGTCCGTCGGCTGCGGACTGCCGGCGGCGGCGTCGTCGTCGACGTCGTCGGGAAAAAACGACCAACGCATGTCGCCGCCGCCGCCGCCTCCTCTTCCGCCGCCGCCGCCGCCTCCGCCTCGCTGCTGCTGCTGCCGGTCCCGCTCGTCCTCGTCGAGTCGTTGTCGTTGATGCTGCTGCCGCTGCTGCCGCTGCCGCCCGGGCTGCGAAACGCCGCCGCCGCCGCCGTCCGGCGACACGGCCGCCCTGACGGCGTCGGCCAGGGCCGACAGAAAACTCATGGTCGTCGTGGCGTCGGCGTAAGCGTCGTCCTCGTGCTGCCGGTGCTGCTGCTGCCGGTGCTGCTGCCGGTGCCGCCGCCGGAGCTGTTGCCGCCGCCGCCGCCGCCGCTACGATTACTCGACGATTACGCGATTATTATCGACGACGACGACGACGACAATCAAAAACAACAAACGGTAACGACGATATATAAAAAATCAACGGTAATAATACAAATGGTTTATCACGATTTTAAACGCGACTACGCGAGTGAGATATTAATAATAATAATAATAATAATAACAATACGATTAATAACGGCGGCGGCGGCGGCGGCGACCACGACGGCGGCGACGACGACAATAACGATTAATAACTATTGACAATAACGATTAATAACTATTGACAATAACGATGAATAACGATTGATTAACACAATAACGATTAACAACTATTAACAATAACGATGAATAACGATTGATTAACACAATAACGATTAACAACTATTAACAATAACGATGAATAACGATTGATTAACACAATAACGAT